CGAGGTGGCCTGCAGGATCCTAAAGTCAGCTAGGTTCTCGGCCGACGGCCAGCCTCTGTCTAAAAATGCCGTGGATTTCAACCGAACAAGAAACCCACGATGTACAGTACGGTAGCTCTAAGAACACTGCTCTGTGGGGCGAGACATTCACAGTCTACAGTAAAACAATCCAGGCAACTTAATAGCTTAAAATCCAGCTGTCTCTGATAAATACTGAGATTAAATGGAAAAATAGGGTCTCCGACACGGATTTGCTAGTACGGACCGGACTCATCAGCATCCTCCCATGTTGAGGCAAATCCAATTTCAGTGGTATGGCCACGTCGCGAGGATCGGCGAAGAACACATATCCAAGCGGCTATTGTACGGCGAGGTCGCAATTTGTGCTCACCAACATGGAAGGAAAGAGGAACGTTATGAGGATATTCCTTTTTTCTCAAGAATCTACTATTTAGTCCGAATACTTGGAAGGACCTCATCCAAGATCGACCGGTCTGGAGAGGTGCTGTGAAGACTGCAGTTGTGACTTAGGAAGTCCGCCGGATCGCCAGGAGGAAGTGTCGCACTTTGTGTAATGGAAGGGAGGCTTCAGCCCGGGGTTCATTAGAAGTCAGTTCCCTCTAAAATCTACTACGACTATAGCCATTAGTCTGCGAATAGAATGCAGCCATTTACCACTGATGGAAGGCGTTCAATGGAGTTGCACCATAGAATATGACTGTTAGGTAATATTACTAGCATCAGTAACTGACGTGACCGCAGTCGGATAAACCCGCCTGCATGTCAGAGCTTGCTTAGCTGATTTATTGTCCAGTTTTTATATGCCAAGTTGCTAGAGGTATTAATTTCCGCCCGTTCATAGTCCTTTTTGGTGTGTTTCATAAAGAGAAGGAAGCTTTCCTTTTACCTTATGATATCTGGAAATCCACGAGCCAGCTCTTCAAGCAGTCTTCAATCTTATACTTACATGAAAAGTAAGTTAGCCAGGCCCCACAACAGCAACCTTTTTATTTGATTTTCAACTATTGTCTTCTTACGTGGCGTTATACCTTACAAGGGTTACCTTACTACGGTGACAACCACTGCGAACTACCATACGGTGAGGCCAACTGTTAATCCAGTGCTTGCAATGAGCAGCTCCACCCCAATCGTCAGCAGCGACGGCAGCTGCCAGTATTCTGTAAACGTGTCTGCCATGGACAGCTTCCATTTATCTGCTGCCATGCCACTGGGAGCCGCCGAAGTCATGGAAGAGAAGGAGGAAGTCACGAAATTGAAGCCAGATGGAGATCCGTCAATCAAGCTGAACCCCAACGCTGTCAGTCCAAGGCAATTGGTCGACTACGCCGCCAGTGAGCAACTTCTCCAACTTTGCTTCATATCCGTATTTTTGCTCATTATCATATTTTTTCCCTTACGTGCTTTAACTCATCCCCCATCCCTCCTCAAATTTTCGATTTCTTCGTTTCTCCTTTCCCCCTAATCCGTTTGCTCTTTTGCAGTCTATTTTGTGAGAAGTTTGATGGGGTTTGAAGAATGAATGTCGATTAATACCTGAAAACATGTGTACTGTACTCGATTTTTGTTTTCATGTCATGTCATGTTTTTGAAATTTTGCTGCCCCAGAGGCTGATGGGTGAAATCCCATACGCGTTAAGCTATTGGGTGGATTCTTTTTGATATTGCTGATGAATCTATTTTCAGTACGCGTTTCAGCAATCAAGGAAAACGGAATTACTGTAAAATAGCAACTTTGGCCGCAGCTAGGACGGGTTTTGAGCCCGTCGGATACGTTAAGCCTGGAGACATTTTCTGCATGCTTGGCGTAGGAATGACCTTCCTATTTCGGCTTCTGCGACGATGCCCACACAAAGAAGATTTATTCACGGTCTTTAACCTAACCGCTTACTTGATGCGGTCATGCCTTCTTGTATTTACTTCGCCCCTCCCTTCACGAAGACTTCCGAGGCGCATGTGCCGCAACGGGTGTAACAGTTGTCGGTTATCAGATATTCCTTTACCCGCGGGATGTGCGGCAGTGTGCGCAATTCTACCAGAAGTGTTGCAGCTGTCGTTCATCAGTGGACCGGTTGTTAGTCGACCGTTAACCCCAGTTATCCTGCGTAGCCACTTCGGGATGCAATTAGCAATAGAGATTTGCAAATGTTCCGCGCCCTGCCGGTTCGCTTGCCTCCATTTTGTGACTTTTTATCACTCCCGTTTTCCTCTTACCTTCGGGGAAGAGTTGATGTGCGTGCAGGCTTTAGGATGGCCTTAAGACTGACGTCCTTTCATCATATACTTCCGAGTCAATCCACTGCACCGCTGCATGAAAATATTTTGTCAATGGCGAAAGCCTATCAGCGATTGAGACAGAAGCTCTAAAGGGGACCTCTGACCACCACATGAACTTTGTTTAGTTCGGAAGCCTATTCG